CTCAATGAAGGGCACGAGGTGTTCTATAAATATGACATATGATGAGTCTGGCTGTTAGCATGGACAGAGGAAAGGCTATCCTGAAACACTATCAAGCTCAGATCGGGCACAGCGTTGGCGCAGTGTGTAATATGTCTAGCAGAATGTAACCACCAGGACTAAAAATATTTCAGTGACGTTTACCTCATGGCATGATATCTCTATGTGAAATAAACAACATTGACTTGACGTCTCAGGTTTCATCTCTAAGAAGGTTTCATCGGTATACCTCACGGGGGTGGAGAGATGACCGCATGTGAAGCCCCCAAAATATGCTTTTTTAACAGTAGTCTGAATGGGGTTTTGTGGAATGCTGCTTTAGTGAGTTCATGGAAACATGTAAAATATAATTTATGATTGGTTGAACACATTTGTTCTGCATGCTTTTATGATATATGCATTTATATTAAATCAGTGAGTGGAACGTCTCTGAGAGAATTTTTCTGTAGGCCCGTGTACAAATAAAAATATTAGAAATATTCTTTCAATGTGATGCTATTTTCATCAAATCATGTTAATCCCTGGGAATCAATATTGAAAATGTTGGCAATCAAAGACGGTTTATTTTTTTATGTTGACAGATTATTTATGTTACTTTTATAAAGATAAACACAAATAAAAAATCACACATAATGCATTATTTTCCAGCACTTTTTCCATTCATTTGAATATTTTTTGCAAAGAAAAGAAAAGAAAAACAACTACACTGCACACAATTCATATTTTCCTGAATTTTCCAATATAAATAATCACTCTCTAGCTGAGAAAGCCTTACTGATTTTTTCACGTATTTCTTAGAAACTGAAAGTGTATTGTTGTACACGTTTACCTTCAATCTACATTTACAGTAGTGATCTATAAATAAAGCAAAAATGAATTAAAATATTCATGCTTTAGATTTACATGTCTGATTCACATTTTAAACAGCTAGTGCAATATTAGTGATATAAACTGCTGTAACTAAATTTTTTATTTATTTGTATTTAAAATATTTTATTTATTTGAACTTCAAAATAAAATTCAACAAAAACAGTAACGCTCTAGAGTCATTCATTTGGATACATACTGCCAAGTTTATTTTGTGTGTGTGTGTGTGTGTGTGTGTGTGTGTGTGTGTGTGTGTGTGTGTGTGTGTGTGTGTGTGTTTGACAACAAGTGGTTGGTTCATCTTGAGCTTGTTATTGTAGACAGGACTAGTAATTATGGACCTTTGGACTTATGGTTTATGGTTTGTCATGGATGAGCACAGAACATTTAAAACTTCAGGGTTTGATGCTGCCAGTAGAAGTGAAGCACCTGGACCCCAAAATCATGTCAACATTTTAAAATTTGATGCACTATGTATTATAACACACACACACACACACACACACACACACACACACACACACACACACACACACACACACACACACACACACACACACACACACACACACACACACACACACACACACACACACACACACACACACACACACACACACACACTCAATGATCATAAATAGGCTACTGCATGCATAATAATTAGACAAGAATGATCAAAATGCTGTTTACAGTAGTTTTAGAAAGAGTGTATTTCACACCACAGGACATGTCAACTTCCCGATAGTGTCTCATGTCATCTACCCTCATAGTTGTCAAAAACATCAACTGTGTTCTGCTAGTTATTCCTCAGTGAAATGAGCACCTGTCAGTAAATGTTCACAGAATGACAGAGTGTTTCATTTCACTTATTTGGTTTCAGTTCTACATTGCTGAGCTCTGTTATATGTGCCAAAATATGTGCCAAAAATCATACTGTGAAATGTATTAATATATTTAATTTATTAATATGTCTTCATCCTTCAATATCTGAAAAAAAAAAAAATTCTGATTTGCATTTATTAAACGTATTTATAAATATTTACTGTATATCCTCAGCCCAAATGTTTGCTAGGGGTTTTGCCTCTGTTTTCTGACTTTTTTAATAACCCTGAGAGAGGTCGACAGTACTAGATTGACTGCAAATAATGATAATAATAATAATAATAATAACCCCTTTGAGAAAATTACAGCATGTCAACCCAACTCATTCTCAAGATTTGGCTGTGACTCTTAATTTAAGCTCTACAGTTAAAAAGGGCAGTCGGTACCTTTCATTTTTTCATAACTGAACTGATTTTAGTTTGTGTGTGTGGATAGATAGATAGATAGATATATAGATAGATATATAGATAGATAGATAGATAGATAGATAGATAGATAGATAGATAGATAGATAGATAGATAGATAGATAGATAGATAGATAGATAAACAGACAGGCAGACAGATGGAAGATGGATAGATAGATAGATAGATAGATAGATAGATAGATAGATAGATAGATAGATAGATAGATAGATACATGATAGATAGATAGATAGATAGATAGATAGATAGATAGATAGAAAGATAGATAGATAGATAGATAGATAGATAGATAGATAGATAGATAGATAGATAGATACATGATAGATAGATAGATAGATAGATAGATAGATAGATAGATAGATAGATAGATAGATAGATAGATAGATAGATAGATAGATAGATAGATAGATAGATAGATAGATAGATAGATAGATAGATAGATAGAATCATGCATTGCACTATAAAAAACTCAACAGGCCAGTACTGAAAAATACCAAGAGATATAATATAAAGTCCCCTTGAAAATCATGAAATAATTTTCAAGCTGCACTTAGTATTGCTTTTTCTTTGCTGTCAGAACAGATGTGCGGACCGCTGCTTGAGATAGCTTCGGATGATCTCAGTGTTTCTCAGCAGATCTCAGTGTTTCTCAGCAGATCTTAGTGTTTCTCATCAGATCTCAGTGTTTCTCATCAGATCTCAGTGTTTCTTCATCAGATCTCAGTGTTTCTCATCAGATCTCAGTGTTTCTTCATCAGATCTCAGTGTTTCTCATCAGATCTCAGTGTTTCTCATCAGATCTCAGTGTTTCTCCAGCAGATCTCAGTGTTTCTCATCAGATCTCAGTGTTTCTCATCAGATCTCAGTGTTTCTCATCAGATCTCAAGGTTTCTCATCAGATCTCAGTGTTTCTCATCAGATATCAGTGTTTCTTCATCAGATCTCAGTGTTTCTCATCAGATCTCAGTGTTTCTCATCAGATCTCAGTGTTTCTCATCAGATCTCAGTGTTTCTCATCAGATCTCAGTGTTTCTTCATCAGATATCAGTGTTTCTCATCAGATCTCAGTGTTTCTCATCAGATCTCAGTGTTTCTCATCGGATCTCAGTGTTTCTCATCAGATCTCAGTGTTTCTCATCAGATCTCAAGGTTTCTCATCAGATCTCAGTGTTTCTCATCAGATATCAGTGTTTCTTCATCAGATCTCAGTGTTTCTCATCAGATCTCAGTGTTTCTCATCAGATCTCAGTGTTTCTCATCGGATCTCAGTGTTTCTCATCAGATTTCAGTGTTTCTCATCAGATCTCAGTGTTTCTTCATCAGATCTCAGTGTTTCTTCATCAGATCTCAGTGTTTCTCATCAGATCTCAGTGTTTCTCATCAGATCTCAGTGTTTCTTCATCAGATCTCAGTGTTTCTCATCAGATCTCAGTGTTTCTCATCAGATCTCAGTGTTTCTCATCAGATCTCAGTGTTTCTCATCAGATCTCAGTGTTTCTCATCAGATCTCAGTGTTTCTTCATCAGATCTCAGTGTTTCTTCATCAGATCTCAGTGTTTCTCATCAGATCTCAGTGTTTCTCATCAGATCTCAGTGTTTCTCATCAGATCTCAGTGTTTCTTCATCAGATCTCAGTGTTTCTCATCAGATCTCAGTGTTTCTCATCAGATCTCAGTGTTTCTCATCAGATCTCAGTGTTTCTTCATCAGATCTCAGTGTTTCTTCATCAGATCTCAGTGTTTCTCATCAGATCTCAGTGTTTCTTCATCAGATCTCAGTGTTTCTCATCAGATCTCAGTGCTGCTGCTGGAGTTTTTCAGTGGTCACTGTGCCTTTAAGAGCGCGCGCTCTAGGGTGGCGCTTTCCTCCGCAAGGGCTTCTTGATATTAATAGTGTTGGTGTCTTGAAACTGACGTAATGCTTGGAGTCTGAGGTCCTGACAAGCGATAACATTTCTGATAAAGAACTGAGATCCCTGCAAAAACCAACCTCCTTTCTTCCCACCAGACTCAGGCGTTTTTACTATTAAACACAGTCTCCCAAGATTTCACGTGTACAGGAGCAATTCGCAATCTTACATCCCCATAAAAAAGAAATCATTCCCCGAGATCAACAAACAAACAACACAAAGACGCTTCATGGCTCACGCCAAAGCTCCACCATCTTTCAGACTGCAAAGACTATTGCAATTTAATCAACAGGTAAGGAGAAAGCGAATCAATGAAGAACGATGTGGTTTTAGCTGTAGTTCCTGATGAATGTTATGTAATGTTGAGAATGATGAATCAGTTGAGTGCTACTTTGTAACGAAAATAAGAGCTCGGCTCTTCGGATTTCCGATTTTGAGGCTAAATTGCAAATTGAAATCGGCGACTTGTTACATTGTATCTCCCAGTAGTTGAGGAGAGAAAAGATTACTTTTTCCTTCCCATTTCTTTTCAGCCATTCTGTGTTGCAATGCGTTTTGCGCAACAGAATATCCACAATGTAGCAATTTCTCTTGTACGTTTAAGCCGCGAGGCGCCTTTTATGTGCATTGTTTATGCGTCGCAAGTAGCTAAACGGATCCTGAGTAAAGTTATAGAAAGTTTCATTGGTGTGTAGGCTACTGTTTTTGCGTAAATGATGCTGAATGGCGCTTTCCACACAAACTTCGAAAACTTTCCGTATCTGATGATGTACGATAAGAAAACGCGTAGGCATGGCAACGCACTGAATGTTATATTTTCCACACACAAAGAGGCACAGGTTGTTTACATGACAGTCTACGGATCGCAACGGGGGTTTTATCGCTATTTTTGCGGTTTTATTCGAAGGCAGGTTGCGAAAAGATGTCTTTCTGTTGTTTCATTGCGTCCTTCGAGGCTATGGAGACGAGCAGCAAAAGTTTATTAATAGCGGTAACGAGTATTTCTCATTTGGATGTGTGTTTCTTTGTGAATTGATAACGAATGGAACAACTTTATATTTGTTTTGTGGAGAACTTTCACACTTAGGTGTGTGTGTGTGTGGGGGAGGCTGTAGTTCACAAAGTTTCTTGTGGCGTGATGGAGCTTATCTAAAAACTTTTCAAGGAATTTAAAGAACCGCTTTAACCCTCTAAAATGAAGGCATGTATATAGAAATTTTACCTTTTGTCTTGGCATGTACACTAGTCCTTTTCTTGTTGATGTTATCCATCAATAGAAACTTTTTTTGAGTGAGTACAGACAATAGATACACACTTAATATGTCTTCTAGTTATGTGTGTATTCATATCCTATAAGTCCCATTTTGTGTGATATGAGAATGTGAAAAGTTTGGATGTTCCTCAGTTCTGCAACTAGCCGGGCGATATATCACGACAAAATCTTTCATATCATTCGATTTCGATAAAAGTCACATTTTTATTTATTTCAAGTTTAAAGGCAGATTTTTTTGCTCCTAAGTGAAAGTTGTAGAAACCAGACTTTTAATTGTGGTTTTAAACCACTTTTTGTTGTAAGAACATGACACAAACTTTACGTTTTTAAACTTTTCCAGTAACAAAATAAATCTCTTAATAAAAAAAAAAATTTCTTATAGTTTCTGCATGTGCTAACAGGTGATATTGTTTGAAGGTTTGTGTTATGTTAGTTATGTGTGTATTCGTATCCTATACTTTTTGTGTGATATATATATTGTTTGGACGTTCCTCAGTTCTGCAACTGTGGTAATGTTTCCAGTTAATTTGGTTTTACAATCACTTTCACATTAGAATGTCATTAAGTGTGTGGAAACAAGTTTTTATCTTCGAACTGATAAAATCACCCACACTTCACTTAAATGTGCCGTACCGAAGCGTAACCTGTATATCTGATTGTTATGATACAAATTCCCATGTTGGTTCCAGTAGATGAGTTGCGATGTTTCCTGTAAACTGTGAAAGTCGCCACACTCGGGCAGTCTGGAAATGATATGCTCTCTTTTTCTGTCTTGAAATGGTTTGTCGGTAAATGTTTCTTAATGACAAAGCCCGTGCAGGCTCATCATTTAGAGAAACTCTCAACTGTACACATAGTTTCAGATACAGTCAACAGGGAATCTCAGCTCTGTCATCATCAGGCTTCTGCAGTCACAATCACTTTATCTGGTAACACTTTACAATAAGGTTCATTTGTTAACATTAGTTAATGTATTAACTAACATGTACTAACAATGAGCAATGCATTTATTAATCTTTGTTAATGCTAGTTAATAAAAGTCCAGCTGTTCATTCATTGTTTGTTCATGTTAGTTTACAGTGCATTAACTAATGTTAACAAATACAATATTTGATTTTAATAACGTATTAGTAAATGTTGAAATTGCCTTTAACTAAGAATAATACATGCTGTAGAAGTATTGTTAATTAATGAGTAGTTAACTAATGAAAGCTTATTGTAAAGTGCTACCTTTTATCTGAACTCTTTTTACAGTTGCATGACTATTTTTTTTAAATCTTTGAGGACTTTAAAAAAGTATTTTTGTGCATCAAAAATATCGACCGATATTGATAACCGATACCGATACCAATTATTTGCATGTTTATGTGCCCGATAACTGATATTTATCTATTGGTTTATTTATGTTTTTCTTCTGTTCTGTTCAAAACACTTTTTAAAATCTATAATTTCTGCACTCCCTGCTTGCATACAAAACAAAACTCACTTCGACATCAATAAATACTGCAAAAAAAAAAAAAAAATAAAAAAAAAATATATAGTGCACTGTCACTAAAGTGTCATTTTTAAATAATATATTTTATCAGGTATGAATATAGCATGTAAAAATAATTCTAACAAATAAAAAAAGCGTTCTAAACCGATTATCGGTCGATCTCTTAATGATCTCATGTGTAACAGTCTAGAGATCAGACGAAAAAAAATATCTCCATCTGCTTGGAATATTATTTCATTCCTTGTTCATCATGTGATACACGTAAATATGCGAATATGCATTCAGCGGTTTACTAGATTCAGTTCTCAGTCCACACAGAAGAATAAGATCCACATGAGTTGTCTGATAAGGCGCGTTTGAAGTGATTGAAAAGCTTGAGGTGTATTTGAAATGTAAATGACTCCACATCTGTGAGCTCTTTGGAGAGAGGCAATAGATCAGCGCTGTATAGTCAGGAACTTTACGGCTGACAAATGAATTTGGGCCTTGGTGGAGGGAGAAAGCAGCAGTGGGGGTCTTGCATTTGTTCTTCGTGGCTTCTGAGTTTGCACAACTTCTTTTGGGCTAACTTCTTGCCGCACCGAGATTTGCCACTTGTGTCCCAGATTCATGTGGCGTTGGTGCCGTTGAATAAGAAGCCTGTAGAGAAAATAAATTTTAAAAGAAAATAAAAGAATTTTTTAATGACAGAGATAGAGAATGGCTCACGCTAGTGTTTGCACATATTGTGAGTAGTTGATGACTACAAAAGTTAATTTTTTTTTACTTTTAGATGATTATTTATGCATATATTTTTATTCATTTGTTGCTCCAAAGTGAACACAAACAAACTTATAACTAAGTTTGAATAACTTATAAGGACTGAATAAGTTTTGTTTGTGATTGTGAAACTCAAAATGATTCTTTTTTTTAAATTGCGTGTTGTTATTTCAAGCTTAGCATTGTAAGGAACGGCACGGTATTTTATTCCAGGCAAGTGTTTTGAAATGATGCATCAATGACTTTATAGAAATTCCTTTTTGTTTTGTTTTTCGTGGTTAGAAATCTCCAAACATGGGAGACAGGAAACTTTAGAATAGTGTTTTTGTAGTCGCCTGATGAAATGCCAAGGTTTACAAAGAGACAGCTCCTGATAATTGGTGCCCTTAAAAGCTTTTATAACATATATTTGATGTAGCCTGCATATGAATAGCTTGTCTTTTTTTTTCCTCCGGATTTTCAAGAATAAAAGAGCCGCAGTTCACAGAGGTCGTCCCTTGTCTCGTCATATGCTTTTCATCCTGTTTTTAGCCGTGTTTTGAAGTCACTATGGCTCTGGATGTGTGCTATAGACTTGTTATGGTGAGTTATAGCAGATAAGACTTGCCATCGTCATTGATTTTCTCACTAAACTTTCATGCAACATGAATGGATTTGATGCGAAATAACGAGAAAAGTGCGTTTTTGTGTGGGCGGTTTATGAATCTACATTAAGCTCTTGTTTTTGTCATCCGAATGAACTGCCTTTGAATTTAAGTGAAATCTTGTTCTCTTCACCTCTTTTTCTCACACCCTGCGTGGGAATGAAACACCAGGACCTTTGACCTGAGGTGTCATAGCAACCTCCTTTATCCTGTAAAAAAATATAGGTTTAGCTTCTACATATATTTATGAATATTGTGTTTTGATGGCTAATTCTTACATGTCACAAATGCAGCTGAAATGTATTTAACGACTCCCCCAGATAAGAGACAGTTTGGGTCTCCGACTCTGTCAGAGCTGTTTGACATCACTTGTTAGGCTAATTATGTGGCGTGTAATATTTTAGTGGTTAGCGTACATCTGGTAAAGTTTGCTGACTGAAAACTCTCGTATTCCCAGTAGAGTAGTAGGTTGCACTGCAAACGAAGAAAAAGAAGTCAAAGTTCCCCTAAATCTTCATTCTTACTCATTGACAAAAACTCTTTTTTTGTTGTTATTTCTTTGTTGAGGAATACAATTTTGTTGCATATGCAAGATAAAGTGATGTGTGACGATAAACCTTTTATTGGTCTTCGTGGTTTTTCAAAGCTAGCGGTTCCCGTTAGGCTAGCTTTTCATATGAGTTGGCATGAAAAACCTTTTTTTTAAAGACTAAAGTAAAAGTATTCATTTGCTTCAAGCTTCATCCCTCAAGCCTGTGTGCTCAGCTTCATATCAAAAACTTTCTGAAAGTTTTGGAGCCAGCATTGCCCACTTCCTCTCCTCCCCATTCCGATGTGCCGAGTTTAGTTCATCCGCCGATCCTCTGGAACGCTGATGAGTCAGTTTAGCCTTTTTCTTTCTTTCTTTTCTTTCCTTGCTATCACGGTGTGTGTTCTTTTACCTCGCAAACAGGTCTTCATTTAGCTTTTTTCGTCTTTTTTTTTTCCTCTCCATCTCACGGTGGCTGAATGTTCTCCATCTGTGTGGTCTGGAGGCTGGTGCGATTGACTATTGCTAACCTGACTCAGGTTGGACAGAATGAGTCGAAGAAAAGGTTTGTAGGGGGGAGGGGTTACGGTGGTGGGGGAGTTTTCCTTGAGAATGTTTGTTTTCCTGTTTCCAATTTGGTCGGCCAGAAGGCCCGTACTGTCAGAGCTCCCATTCATGAAACCTGCTGTCAGACTGCCTGAGTACATGACACAGGATTTCTCTCAGCTCTCTCCATGTTGTCTTTTGGTAGATCCTTCTTTTGTAAAAGTCGTTTTATTCTGTGAATGCTAAAGCGTTGTGCATGCACCTATGACTTTGCTTCTTTAAAAATGACTGAAAAGTTTCTGTTTACCCAGAGCACTTCCTTCTCGCTGAACATGTGTGGTTTTGTTGTTACAGTGATCGAGAAGAACGGTGTGGTTTGGTCACCCTTCGCACCCAGGATCATCTGCACCTGTGAGGTCTTCTGAGAAAAGGAAGTACGGGACGGCGCATTTCACAAGCGACGCACGTAGAGCGAGTAAAAAACTTTGTGAACACTGTGGGGAAAAAAATGGAATGATTCCCAGGCCGGAATGGATGTGGAATAAAGGATACCTCGGAGGGCTCCTCAGGGAAGGGTCTTTGGATACTCTGCCAGCTTTGATATCTGCCTCCCTGTTGGATTTGAGTGTGATGATGCTATAACCCAATGCTTAACAGAGGTATGTATATACGTGCGATTGTGTGTTATGAAAACGCAGGGCGGCGTGTGGCATTGTGGTTTTCCATGCAAGTCATGTAGCACGTAACGGCAAAGGACACGATTTTTGTGTTAGGGTGATGTAGCTTTAAAACCTTATTTATGGTAACTTTTAACCCAATCTTCCTGTAGTTCAGGGCCGTAATCTAGACCGCTAGATAGCTCAAGCTGTTAAACTGCTTTGATCTTCAGTAAGGCCATCATCCCCTGCTTTGGCGTTTATTACGTGGAACAGTAGAATTTACTGACTTTCTTTTCCCTGACTTTTTTTTGCATATATGTGGGTTTTCTCCAGGGTAATAAGAGGCCACACAAGCAGTGTTTTCTTTTTTGTGTTGTGGACCAGGTGATACTGTGGTCTGGTATTCTTCTCTGCCACTGTGTTTGTGGAACGCTGGACTTGCTTTCAGAAGATTTTTTTTCATAGCTCATAAAAAAACATGCATAGAAGGATATAGATAAAGTTAACAGTTTGTTTTTGTACGTGCATTTATTCTTATAAATGGTTGATTATCCATTATGTGTCACCCAAAAGCAAAAATAAATAGTTGTTTGCATTAGTTGATGATCCTCAGTTATTTAATTTTATCATAAATCGTCATAATTGCATCAAACGTTGGGAAATTTTATTTTAATTTTGATTTTAAAAGTGGTTTGCCAGCTTGCTCTGTGCCGCATGATTTTCAGTCGAGCTAATGAACGTAGAAATGCAATAATCTGAACTTCTAAAAGCGTCCGCATTCTTTGCGGTCTGGGTTGCGAGCAGTAGTCCTTCTTAAATGAGGTAATCTGAGAGTGTGTTATAGATGGCTGTTTTCTCCCGTGCCGAAATCTACTGTATAATAAACGACCTGTAACGGCCAGTGATTAGGGGATCCTGTCTTTGTGATCGCTGCCACAGTGGAGGTTTCTCTCGTGTGCCCTGCCGTTTCAGCAGATTTGCGTAATGTTAAACACATGCCATCTTCTCCAGTCTGGATTTCAGGGGAAAACCTGCTCTCGGGGATGGTAAAATGTGCTTGATGGTTTCGGTTTGTGTTAGGCGTGGGGGTGAAGCTGAATGGCAAGATTAACCCCATGGATCCTTCAGCCAGAGCTACGACACAGGCTTCTAGGTCAAGGGTCACCTGAGATCCCTCAGTGGTGATATGGGGGTCCAGGGGCCCCTGATGGGGCTTACTGGGTTGTAATGCGTTTGTTAGTCTTTTTTTAAAACAAATTGTTGCCCGTCTTTCTCTGAATTTTGATGTGCTTTACTGAAAAATTATTCTTTATATTCATTTTAAAATTTTGCAATTCTTAGTGCACTTTTTAAAATTAGTTTCACATTTTATTCATTTGAATCATTGGGATGCTGATGAGCAAGGTTACATTAATATTACATTAATATTTACCCAACAGATTCTTCTCCTTTCAAACATGACTTGATCTATTTCGACAACATATATTTATAAATGCCCAACCCCATTTGGCTAATTTAGTATTAATTTGCTTTAAAACTTGGTGTATTTGGTTTAAACCCGGGCGCATGACCCAGACTAAACCCATAAATGCTAATTCATGGCTGTGTTATTTACTCCAGCCGATGATTCTTCACTGTGATTTACTGATATTACACATCTAGCAGTGTGTGGTGTGTTTGCACTAAAGTAGCCTATATTTTCAAAATGACGACTTTTTGATCTCAGCCCACTTTTAATTGCATCTTACTATACAGTAGGCATTAGTTATGCTCATATCCTTATAGGCTCAGCTGTTATGCGCTGGACCATCTCTTTGACTCGCATGCCCGTTTTTGGGTATAAACATGGATTTATGCTGTGAGTTAAAGCTTATGCTTATTACTTGTACCTTGCTTTGTATAATTTGGTTGAGTTATGGTGGGGGAATTTGAGTGGTCTGCATAGTTCTCCAGTAGGTGCCTGTGTGATGTATGGCGTGCCAGTGTGCCGAGGGAGGCAGACGGCCAAATGTTTTCATAATGTTCATTTAAAAGTCTGATCATTCGCCTCCACCTCTTTCTCGGTTTTGCAGTGCATATAGAAATGTTTGATGCAGCACCACTTTAATCAGCCACATAATGCTCAACATCCAGTTTGTTACTTTTGAGGAATATAAGAAAAGTTTTTATTTGCAGGTAAAAGTGTAATACGTTTTTACAGTCTGTGATTCTGTTTTTTCAGACGTGGAATTAGCATGTGAGCGTGAACCGGTTGTAAATACAATGGAAATTCCACATCTTTATGCATTTCAGGCCTGCTAGATAAACAGCAGAGCCTTTACGAACTGAGAGGTGACGGTCGTGAGCGCGCCTAATGAGACTCTCTGGTTTGACTCCAATATTTGCCTGTAAGAATACAGTGAGCCGAGTTATTACAGACTTTTGAGATAGTTGCAAAATGGCGGTAATGAGAGAGGAGCGATCCTGCCCGCGAACGGCGATGCCCGGGTCGTATTCGCCTGCCAATTAGCCCGATATTCCTCCACTCGTGTGGCACCATCTTGCAGTAACCCCGAACCGGCACCGAACTAATCTAATTAGATCGAGAACACAAAAATGATCCCGGACCACTGGCAGAACGCACAATAAGGGAGCAATTTATTCTCGCATGGTGTTAAAAAAGGAGGGAATGGTTGAGTGCAGGCCTGTTGTTTTTAGCAGATTGTTTCCGCAAGGCCTGCTCCATATGGTGTCGGAGAGGGGAGAAAAAAGCCCCGGAGAAGGGGGTAAAGAACAAGGGGGCAGAGAAGCTGCAAAAACAAAACTTCTCCAGTCAACCCTCTCTAAATTAAAGGGTAATGCCGAGCACACCGCACACTCAGGAGTTGTTTGTTTAAAAAGCCAAACTGCATTAATCAACGTCTTCATCTTCATCGCTAACAGCATGATTAATCTGCTGTTTTTTCTCCCCGCCAATCTTTTTTTTTTTTTTTTTTTTTTTTTTTAGTAATTGCCAATCCAATGAGCAGCTTTGACAGAGTGCTTCTGACCACATTGTTCACACATTGAGTGATGCCTGCACAGCGTCAGTGCACAGCAATATTATGCTTTTGGTTCAAAGCCCAGGTTCAGTTGCATAGTGTAATGCAGATCGTATTACATGTTTCTGATACAATATTGTAGCTACTTTAACCTGCAATAACTCTCTGCAGCTTTTGCCTTGCGATCTTCTCCCCTCGGACCTTCTCAGAAGCGCCCTTTTGGCCAACTTTACTGTAGTTGAATAGCGCCTGGAGGCCATTGACAGGAGCCTCATGTATCCTGGCCGTGTCTTTGGCAAACACAAACAGTAGCCTTCTAAAGATTTCTCCATTTGTTTAGAGGAAGTCCCAGAGGCTTGTTACGCTCCCCAACCCCCTTCTCTTGTGGCTATCAGATGTTTATCCTGTACAAGGAGGGCAATTTACAAATGTAAGTGTTGTCACAACACAGGAGGAGACAAAAGGCGTCACGTCAGGCAAGGATGCACCTCAGTGTCAGACCGCCATTATTTTGCAGATTAGGAGGGTTCAGGTGAATGTGGGACTGAGTGGCACAGCTACTGTTTGCTGTGATTTGTCTTTCTCCGTTCAGACCGGAGGTCGGGTCTCTCGGATGTCCGGACTGTGTACTTGATGATCGAGGAAAGTTTTAGATGTCATATAATACAACTTCAAATCATACGGTTGAGTAGGCTTTTGATAAAACAGTAAAAGACGGTCATTATGGTAGTTTTTTGTCTCTCTTCTTTGTACTAGTTGTGTTTGATAAAAGTCATTGCTTTTATTTGTAAGTGTTTAATGGCTGATTTCAGGCTTTATGCAATACATTTTACACCAATGCCTAAACAGGCATGATTTGATGAAGCAAAAAGCGATAAAAGTTATCTTTTCTATCTAAAAATGTTTTATTTATTTATTATTTGCTCTCTATTTCTGATCCTATGGAGTGCATAACCTAAAGATTGTTCTTGTTGGCTGTTAAAATGCTGCATCATACAGTATTTTTGCTATGAGCTTAGTGATAGTTCCCAAAAAATTAAAAATGAGCAGTTTCTCATGTCATTCCAAATCTGTATGACTTTCTTTCTTCTGTGGAACATAAATTGACATTTTAATAAAGTGTTTTTCTTGTGCGTACAGTGGAAGTCAATGGAAACAAACTGTTTGGTTTCCATCATTCTTCAAATTATCTTCTTTTTTTTTTTTTTTTTTTTTTTTTAACAGATGTACGTTTATTAATACAAGTTTAGAATGACATGAGGGTGATGAATTGACTTAATTTTTCAGTGAATTATCCCTTTAATGCTACCCATACACTACACAACTTTCAAAGTCATCTTTTCAGACTACATAACTGTCTGTCTGTTGTCACCGATGTCAGTTCTAGGCAAAACACATTTCACACTACAGGAAGTGTATCGCAAAGAGGTATAGATATTTAACCTGCTAAATATCTTTAGGCATCGGTGATCTTTTAGGTCACATATTTGATAATAACTCATAGTGATTGTCAATCATGTGAAAAATCACTGATTTTCCTCAGATTGGTTGGCGATATGCCTTAACTGACAGCGAGTGTATAATCAGGGCTAGAATTGTGTAGTTAAAAAAAATTACAAAAAGGTAGTTTTACCAGTAGAAAAGTTTTGCAAATAAATAAATTTGGTCACACTTTTGATTAGATTAGGGTTCAATTCTCACTATTAACTAACTATATTAACTACAACTTTTGCATCAATAAACTCCTATTTCCTGCTTATTAATAGTTAAGGTATTGTTAAGTTTAGGTATTAATGTAGAATATGGTCATGCAGAATACGGCATTAATATGTGCTTTATAAGTACTAATAAACAGCCAAAATCCAAGTAATATGCATGATAATATGCAACTAGTTCATAGTGAGGATTGAAGAAATGCATATTACTTTTTTTTGCGAATAATATGTTAAAGAACATGTACACTTACATGAGATGAATACT